ATCTGAACCAGCAAACCCTGGGCCACTGAGAAGTGGAACGTGTGAACTTAACTGCTGCACCACTGAGCCAGCCCCCTGGTTACTGTTCTTAAAAGGATAGCTTTCAGTTTTTCATCCTTGAATATGATGTTAGCTGTGGGTTTGCCATATATGGCCTTTATTATGTTAAGGTATTTTCCTTATATACCCATTTTATTCAGAGTTTTTTCATAAACGGATGCTGTATCTTTTCAAGTGCTTTCTCTGCATCTATTGAGATGATCATGTGATTTTTATTCTTTATTTTGTTAATGTGGTGTATCACGTTGATTGATTTGTGGATGTTGAACCATCCCTACATCCCTGGAATAAATCCCACTTGATCATGGTGTATCATCTTTTGAATGTATTGTATTCGATTTGCTAGCTCTTTGTTGAGGATTTTTGGATCTCTGTTCATCAGTGATGTTGGCCTGTAATTTTCTTTTTTTTGTATTGTCCTTATCTGGTTCTGGTATCAGGGTAATGTTGGCCTCGTAGAATGAGTTAGGAAGCTTCCCCTCCTCTTCAGTTATTTGGATGAGCTTGAGAAGGATAGACGTTAAGTCTTCTTTGAATGTTTGGTAGAATTCACCAGAGAAGCTGTCTGGCACTGGATTTTTGTTTTGGGGAGGTTTTTGATTACTGTTTTGATCTCCTTGGTGGCGATTCATCTGCTCAAATTCTCTATTTCTTCTTGATTCAGTTTTGGAAAGTGGTATAATTCTAAGAAGTTATCCATTTCTTCAAGATTATCCAATTTGTTGGCATATAGCTCTTCATAGTATTCTCTATAATGCTTTGTATTTCTGAGGCATCCATTGTAACTTCTCCTCTTTCATTTCTGTTTTTATTTATTTGAGCCTTCTCCCTTATTTTCTTGATGAGTCTAGCTAGACATTTTCAATTTTGTTTATCTTTTCAAAGAGCCAGCTCTTCATTTATTTTTTCAATTATTATTTTACTCTCTACTTTGTTTATTTCCACTCTGATTTTTATTATTTCCTTCCTCCTACTGATTTGGGCCTTTGTTTGTTCTTCTTTTTTGCAGTTTGTTTACATGCACTGTTAGAATGTTTATTTGAGATTTTCCTTGTTTCTTGAGGTAGACCTGTATTGCTGTACACTTCCCTCTTAGAACTGTTTTTGCTGTATCCCATAGATTTTTGCATGTCCTGTTTTCATTTTCATTTGTCTCCAGGTATTTTTTATTTTTCCTTTGATTTCTTTGTTGACACAGCAGTTGCTCAGTAGCATTTTGTTTAATGTCCATATATTTTTGGTTTTTTTCAGTTTTCTTCTTGTAGTTGATTTCTATTTTCATACTGTTGTGGTCAGAAAAGATGCTTGATATAATTCAATCTTCTTAAATTTATTGAGACTTGTTTTGTGGCCTAATGTGTGATCTATCCTGGAAAATATTCCATGTGCATTTGAAAAGAATGTGTATTCTGTGCTTTTTGGATGGAATGTTCTGTATATATCTGTCTGTTTGATCTAATGTGTCATTTAAGGCCAATGTTTCCTTATTGATCTTCTGTTTTGATGATCTATCCATTGATGTAAGTGAAATGTTACAGTTCCCTATTATTATTATGTTACTCTCTATTTCCCCTTTTATGTCTGTTAATGATTGCTTTATATATTTCTGTGCTCCTATGTTGGGTGGATAGATATTTACAAGTGTAATATCCTCTTGTTGGATTGTTCCATTTATCATTATGTTGTGCCCTTCTTTGTCTTTTGTTAAAGTTTTTGTTTCAAAGTCTATTTTGTCTGACGTAAGTATTGCAACTCAAGCTTTCTTTTCATTGCCATTTGCGTGGAGTATCTTTCTCCACCCCTTCACTTTCAGTTTGTAATTGTCTTTAGGTCCAAAGAGTGTCTCTTGTATGCAGCATATATATGGTTTTCTTTTTTTAATCCATTCAGCCACCCTATGTCTTTTGACTGGAGCATTTAATCCATTGACATTTAAAGTAACTATTGATGAGTATGTACTTATTACCATTTTGTTACTTTTTTCTGGGTGTTTTAGTAGTTCTTCTCTGTTCCTTTCTTCTGTTGCTCTCTTCACTTGTGCTTTGATGGCTTTCTTTAGTCTTATGTTTGGGTTCCTTTCCTTTAATTTTTTGCATAGTTATTACAGACTTCTGGCTTGTGATTACCATGACATTCAGATATAATGACCTATATAATTGTTATCTATATTAAGTTGATAGTCTCCTAAGTTTGACCTCTTACTAAAAGCCCTACTCTTTTACTCCCCTCCCCCATTTTATGTTTTTGTAACATATCTAACCTCTGTTTTTGTGTGTGTATCCTTTAACCTCTAATCATGGAAATAAATAATTTTAGTACTTTTGTTTATTGACCTTCATAGGCGGTTGATCTGTTACCTTCACTATATATTTGCCTTCACCAGTGATTTCTCTTTCTTTGATAATTTTCTTATTCCTATTTGTGGTCTTTTCCACTTAAATAAGTCCCTTTAACATTTCTTGTAAGCCTGGATTTTGGTGATAAACTCCTTGAATTTTTGCTTTTCTGGAAAACTCTTTCTCTCTTCTTCCCTTCTGAATGATAACCTTGCTGTGTAGAGTATTCTTGGCTGTGGATTTTTTCCTTTCAGCACTTTGAATATTTCGTGGCACTCACTTCTAGCCTGTAAAGTTTATGACGAGAAGTCTGCTGATAGATAACCTTATACCGTTTCCTTTGTATGTAACTTCTTGCCTTTCTCTTGCCTTTAGGATTCTCTCTTTATCTTTAATTCTTAACATTTTAATTATAATGTGTCTTGGGGTGGGCCTCTTTGGATTCATCTTGTTTGGTGCTCTCTTTGCTTCCTGTACCTGGCTGTCTGTTTCCTTCCTTAGGAAGGAAATAGCTGAAAAATAGCTGACAATTTTGAGCTTCTATTTATTCACATATATTCTCTGCCCCTTTGTCTCGCTCTTCTCCTTCTGGAACACCTATAATACACATGTTAGTCCACTTGATGTTGTCCCAGAGATCCCTTAGACTGTCCTCGTTCTTTTTAATTCTTTTTTTCTTTTTTCTGTTCAGCTTGGGTGATTTCCTTTAGTCTTTTGTCCATCTTGCTGATTCATTCTTCTGTGTCATCTACTCTTGATTCCCTCTGGTGAAATTTTCACTTCTATTATTGTATTCTTCAGTTCTGATTGGCTCTTTTTTATATTTTCCAATTCTTTGTTGAGATTCTCACTGTGTTCATCTATTCTTCTCCCAAGATCAGTGAGCATCCTTATGACTACTAGTTTGTACTCCTTATCAGGCATATTATTTATCTCTGATTGCTTAGTTCTTTTACTGAGGATTTGTCCTGTTCCCTTATTTGGAACATATTCCTTTTCTCTTCATTTTGCCCATTTCGCTGTGATTATTTATGTATTAGGTAAATCAACTACATCTCCCAATCTTGGAGAAGTGGCCTTTTGTGAGAGATGCCCTATGAGGCCCAGCAATGTCATTCCCTCTTGCTACCATTTCAAATGTTCCAGGAATACCCCCTGTATGGTCTGCATGTGCCCTTCTGTTGTGGTGGGGTTGTTCCTGCTGCAAGTGCATGGGTAGGCTAAGCTGCACCTTGGCTGGCTGATTGTAAGAATCAGCTGCGTGTGGCTGCTATGGTCACTTTAGTCACTTTATTGGTTGGGGGAGCCCCAGCACTGCTGGCTACAGGGTCTAATAGCACACACCTGCACCTGCTGCTATATTGCTGTTAAGTGAGTCATGCTCCCAGCATGGCTGGTTGCTAGGCTCCAGGGCACACAATTGCTATAGGCCTTTAGGCTGTGAGGCTGTTGTCAGCTCTCTCAGGAGCACAGCTGGGCAGGGCTGGCTTCAGGCATGGCAGCACACAATCATTTCTGGCATTGGAAGGTGGGGTAGATCTCCTACATGGCTGTTTGAGAAGGCCAGCAGCACAAGTCTGCTTCAGCTTGACAAGCCTCACTGCCCATGGGGCCATGCACCCTGTCAACACAGTCCTGCCCAATGTGCAACCCCTGTGCAAAAAGAATGGACCCACTTGCCCTGCTGCAGAGGTTTCACACACTTTGCCTACATGGGCCCACAAGTTCCCTGTGGGCTTGCTGGTAGGTGGGGCCCATGCCTAGGGCAGGCTGCTTGCCCTGGCTGAGCTGGATTAAATCAGTGCTCTAGTGGGTGGGGTAAACCCCTGCCTTAATAGGCCAGGGGAAGAACTCCAATGGCATCTGCCAGCAGCTCTGTCAGTATACCTGTACTAGGTCACAATAATGGCTGCCACCAGTGTGTCAGTCCCTCGGAAGGTGGTCCCAGTTGCCTCCTGCCTCCCTGAGATGTGCTCAGAGCTTATCAAGTGAGTCTCTTTTCACCAAAGGACTGTGTACATTTTTTGTGATTTTGTGTTGCTTTCCAGAACTGGTGAATTTGTACGTGAGCCCTTTAAGAGCAAGCTTTTCTTTCTCTTATGTTTCAGAGCTTTTCTGGGTGTATCCCCTGTGGTTGTTAATAGCAAAGCCAAATATTATGATACTTGTCTCGGTTGTGCTGAGTTCAAAAGCTGCTCATTGTGGCATAGCTCTCCCACTTAGATCCCCTGCTCCTCTAGGGAGAGCTTCGTATCTTAAGACTGATCCCGTCTGTGAAGTGCTGTGGCTAGAATGTGTACTTTTTCATCTCCAGGAAAATCCTTCTTCCTCTTCCACCTCAGTCAGCACTGTCCCTTGCTGTGGGTTTATTTTATCCAGTTTCTGGTTCTCTCTCGGGGTAATTGTTCCAGGGATACTTGTAAATTTGTTGTGTCCATGGGAGGAGGTGAGTTCAGAGTCCTCCTATGCTTCCATCTTCTCTGCTTCTGAGCAATCTCTCTGCTTAATTTTTTCAGTGCTTATATAGAGGAATAATAGCTTGGAGCTTCCATTTTGCTGCCATCCCTCTGATGACATTTAATTACTTGCTTGCAGATAGTTTCTTGAGAAAAAGCCAAGTTTATCTGGCTGTTGTGTCTGCTGGATACTGCTCACTCGACCCTGTTGGAGAAGATAATTTTGCTGTTTGGCATGTGGGGTGTTGTCTGCAGCTGCAAGGGGCAAGGAATGACAGGTACCGCAAAGGCTACTCCGTGGTTTAAGTAATCAGAGTTTATTGATAAAGGGGAACAGAACAAGGAGCAGGGAAACAAAGAACAACAAATCAGTACTTACAACATCCACCCCACAATCAGCCCGGGAAGTCCCAAAAGGGTTACGGCGGGCGGGAGTGCCGATCGTCCGGGTCTGAGGCAGAGCGTCCTCTCCTCAGTGAGACTCCCAATTGTTCTATATTTGTGACTCCCTTTTATTGCAATGTTTTTTGAGTTCTGACTTAGGGTTTTAGGCATTTAGATACTTTGAGTTATTTCCTTTTGTTCCCATGGATGGGATGTTTTTATTTTTTTGTTTCTGTGGATGGGATGTTTGTATAGTCCGGTCAGGTGCCATCAGGGTGGCCAGCCCAGAGAAGGAACATGACGCAGGACATTATTTTATTAACTTGTGCCTTGTGGTCAGGGTCGAAGTGGCTATCTCCAGCTTTGAGCCCAGACACGTTCTTTCACATAGGCCCTGGTCCCAGATCCCAGTCCCTGGAAGGTGGGGAGGTCAATGAACTCTGTACATGGGGTTACCACCCCCACGTGGCTTTTTACTTGCTTCTCAGTATGTCTTATCAACAGCTGAAGATGAAGGCCTCCGTATTTCTGATCGGGGGCAGCAAGGACAGACATGGGAAGTGAATCCACTGATCATGGCCTGGGTCGGGCCACGTAACTAATTATGGTACTTTTCATTAAGCCAATAGTGTCAGTGTCAGGTCTATAATAGCATAGCTAGGTACATAATGATTTATTTCCCTGAGCATTTTACTTTTTTCTATTTAAACCTCTTGGAATAGACAGGAACTTTTGTTTCTTTCCTAATGAATTTAATAATTTAAAAAATTGAGAGTTCTTCAAGATCACATTATAACATTTTTGCTTTCACAAAATATTCTTATTATGCCTGTGGGTTTGTCTACTGCTAGAAAACCCTCTTGTCAGCACCACACTGGTCTGTCCTGTTGTATTTCTCATTTGCTGCCCTGGAGGGCTCAGCGATGAGATTTCTCGTACCTCAGTCACAGAAGGCAAAATGCGGCCAGCTCGTTTCCGAGATGTGTGTTCTGTCTCATGAAGGGTCTGGGGTCTTCTTACGCAGGAGATGCATATTCTACAGCATTTAGGCCCACTCTAGGGATTCCTGGAAAATGAAAAGAAATTGGGTTAAAAAACTTTTGCTGCCTTCAGCCATGGCCAGAGGGATATTTTTAATATCTTATTTAACCTGAAAGAGAGCTTGAAACCTGAAATTAAGGCTCAGAAATCATGGACTACATAACCAATAATACTGGGAAACCACACGTGCCACCTGAGAATCGAGCTAGGGCTGAGGGTGCCCATCACACACTGTAGGGGACACTCAGAGCCACTGTGAACTCACCCGAGGAGCCAGGAATCTCCCACCCCAGAGTAGTGGCATTACCAAGTATCAGATGGGATTTACTAATTTGCTCTTAGAATCAAGATGAGAGAACTTGGTATTGTCTACTATGACTGTCACCCTTCTGATCCCTCCACACACATGTGGCAGGGGAACTGATGGGAAAGCTTTGAGCACAGCTCTTCCCAGATTGTTATTTTCCAGGAGAGAATAAAGTAAAGTTAAGAGACAGGTAAAATGTTCCATCGGGGATGCCATGGTTCTGTCCTCCCCAGCCAGATCTTGTCACCTGTCTACAGACACTAAAATTACAGGCCTGCAGAGAGATGTGCTAATGACATCCCTGCCTTTAAACTGGGCGGCTTCTTCTCACTTGCACAGATCACCCCACACGTCCGTCTGGTAAGCGCCTCTTTATTGCACAGACTCAGAATCAGTGTGTGGGCAGGGTCTCAGGCAGGCCATGGAAAAGGGCAAATTGGGTCTAATAGTGTTTTTTTTTTTTTGGTATCCTGAGATACAGCTGTAGCCATCCTCTACAGTTCAGAGGATTGTTTTCTGTATAATTTATGGGAAATTTCCTTAATATCTTTTTCTTTTAATTTGGTGATTCATAAAATTTAGTTGACTTTTTCCATATGAAATATTTGAATAATTTTATCTTCCCCTTCATTTCTCTGAATAAAATGACTGTCATTTACTTGCTTTATCAGTTCTCAAGACCCATATTATTGTGTTATCTAGCTATTTTAGACTAAAACATTAATAATTCATAGTCATCAAGGAAGGGATAAGTTTTGACTCTAGATTTTCATTAAACATACTCAGTTTTGCTTCTCTTACCTTCATAAACCAGTTAGTAATATTATGTAATAAGTGCCTCTGTCATTTGGGTAATTAAAAAAATAAATATTTACATGGCATTGATTTCAAAGTTCTTTTGAAGGAAATGAGTTTCTTTGTTCAAAACATTGGCTTATAAAGAAAGTTTAACCTCGTATTCCTACAAAATAACAATATTTTCTCATGAAGACATATGGTGTCCCAGGTTTAATTTCATAAATTTAAATTAATGCTGTCAGTTCTTAAGCGTGTGTTCTGGTAGCTAGGATATTTCAAATTAGAGGTGGTGACTGTGAGTGACTTAAAGAAAACAAAGTGATGACAATGGCGATTTCCCCTGCCTGGCTCCCCAAGACCCCAGAGTCTTTTCTCCGTATACTATTCGTTTAAACATGCCTCTTCCCCTTTCATTGCTAACGGATGTGCCCAAACCTTTTTAGTTAAGGGGAGAATTTGGGACACGATGAGCCGTATCTGGCAGTGATCTCTGCGTTTGGGTTTTTATATCTCCCCCCCCCCAAACTATATCTTTTTGTGCACTTATTGTGAACAGATAAATGTAAACTAATCAACTTTTCTTGTTACTAAGATGCAAGAATATGATGACAAGAGAACGTGAAAGCTGTTCAGCGAGGAGGCCAGACTTCGTTCTTCTTTCATTATTGGGTTGATCAGGGAAATGGATCCTCCTGCAGCGCTGTCTGAGTCTCCCAGTAACGACAGGTTAGTGTTTGTGATGAAGTGGCCCTGGGGCTTCCTATGTCTTTACTTTGGAATAATACTTTCTCTTCTCCTGATTTTTCTCAAGAGATTTAAAAATGCTGGTACTATAAACGTTCTAGCTCCCAATGTGCATCCTCAGCTGTGCTTTACAATTCTTTCAATTTGCAGAAACAATGGATAGTTCTAACCAATGTTTCTCAGAAATACTGCTATTCATTTACCCAAATAGTCTTCAAATTTTTCTGTATTTGTCTGGAGTTCATACATTTCACTTAGGCCTGTCATCTAGTTGGTGATGATTTTGCCTTCCCCGGATGTGCCAGCTGTTTCTTCACGGTTCTCTCGATAGCTCTTCAGCTAGAGCTGCGCCACAAGGTAGAACGTGTTGCCCAGGATGCTCACGGCTCAAACTGACACACTTTGTGAATGGTGAGTCTCACCTGCCAGATACTTTTGCTTTGTTTTTTAACTTTAATTTACAGATGATGATGATAGCGATGAAAACAATGATGAAATTGAGCTTTATGATGACAAACCAAAGTATGCTCTATCGTGTGTCAAACGCACATTGCTAAGTGCCAGACATAAATCACATCATTTACACATCATCTCGACCTAGAGTTGTGCGTTATTATGCTCATGGTGCAGATGAGAAAACAGTTGTGCCCTTTCTTCCTTCCCTTCACCCTGTAATCTGTCCCACCCACAGTGTCATAAACACCCAAACTTGCACTGGAGTCTAGTAGGGGGTTTCTTTGTTCCAATACACTCTCCAGGTCTCTTCTGACCATTGGATTGAATGCAATGACCTTAAGATTGGATTGTGGCCCATTTGATGATGCTATGTACCACTTATTATCCATGATTTGGGTAATTGCAGAATGTCTAAGGTGATTGTCTCCTTGATCAGGGTATTAAAGGGAGTCTTAACTGCATTACCTTTGGCCTGAGGGTGACTCAGCCTTCACTATCAGCTCTGACATCTTCTGACTAACTCTCTTTGGTAACTCTCCAAAGAGAATGCTCAGATTTCTACCTGACATTTCTTACTGCATTTATGTTTTCCTCCCCCTACCCTGCCCACTTAGCCTTTCCTTCCTTTTTTTTCCAGTGTGGCCTCTCTGAATATGACCTATTTCATAATTTCCTTCTGTGTTATATGTCATTATATTCAGAACCTCAAGTCTCTCTGAGGGCAGCTTATTTTCTCCAGTGTGTGAAATGAGATTTTTGTGCTTGGTACATTGAATGAGTCAGGAACCATCTCAGCATCAACCACTCCTAAAAGCCTTATTTGAGGAGGATCTTCTGGATCATTCTGCTATGGCAAAGAGTTTTATTCTGTCATGCTGATCTCCTAAACAGTGGTGTGCAGTTCAGGTGGTAAGCGTGATGAAGGATGGCTGTGAGAGGACACACTGGCAGAATTTATTTTAGCTTGTTTTTATAAAATGTTCATATTCTCTGGAATATGTTTTCTAATAAAATACTCTATTAGCATAGAAATAGGTATATATCTTTCCTTATAATATTTACACACAAATATAGAACCCAGATATTCAGAGGGTGTATTTCGCTGATACAGTTGTGTGTGATTCTTGACATTGAGATAACTGGATGATCACAGTTACATTTTCTGTTGTCTCTCCTGGCACTGCATGGGAACAAATATAAGTGGGTGCTCATAAATGCATCAAATTATGTCTCTTTCCTTAATCAGTATTCTGGAAAAAGGAGATAAAGTTTTCCAGCTCTTACTGGGCAATTTCTCCTGTAGAAAAATAATATTTTCTAGTTGTTTCAAAGCAATGACCACCTGAACCATGATTTCCTGAACGTTATTGCAAATTCATGGTGTCTGCACATTCCTTAAACATTTGTGTTTGCAGGACTGCAGTCCCCCAAAGAAAGCTGAAAATGATGGAGTCTTACATCCTCAATTTACAGATGACTAGTTTTACTTTTCTGTGTATTTGTATTTTTTTAAACTGAAATAAAACTAAAGCCTGTATTTCACAGCAATAACGTGATAGAAGTCAATTTCATAATTTTTATTTTATTTCATTCTCATTCTTTTAAAATATCTTTAAAAATGTTATTATATATCTAATGTTATTCTTAAAATATTAACAGTCTGTAGTTTTTCACTTACATGAAATAGATGCATAGAAATAAGTATATGGCATGTATAAGTACATAGAAGATGCAGAAACCATTAGGGCTATGTGCTTAATAGTGTGTGACCACAAAGCTTGAGACAGATGGGTCAGTACATTAATATTTTTCTGTCGTTTCTCATGGGCATAGGAAGGAAGCAAATCCTAATTTTCTGAATGCGTGAATGGAGAAAATGGTGTCACTAACTTCAATAACACGGAAAAGATTAGCTTTTTCTAATGCTACTAGGAAACTCCTATTTTAGACAATGAAACTTTTCCAAAGGTTTCAGACCATTTTTCCAACTAGTCTTCAAGTACTTCAATGTTCATGGCTCCTTAACATTTCTGAACTCCCTTTGTAACTTAGTTATAAAGCCACAAGGCACTGAGTAGCTGTGAAAACAATTTAGCTTTATACCTTTGATTTTCAAATGATAAAACCATAAGAATATGTGACTAGACCCATTTTACAATGTTATGTACCTCATGTTTAAAGGGTTTGAATTAAAACTGAAATAAAGTAAATACCTGCATTCCATAGGGAAATCGTCCTTGAGAAGGTCATCAGTGAATTCCCTAGTCTAATTGTCACACTTGGGCCCCATGACTGGAAAATCCCATTGCTTACTTCAAGGAGACTTGAATGCTTGAACCCCTATGGGGTTACGCCTTTCAGGGTTTGGGGTGGAACCTATATTCTAATTAAAACACTAAAAAGGAATGACCCCAAATCTACTTAAATTGTGGTTATATTTTCTACCTGATTCCACATGCCTAAGAATGGAAGGGAAAGAAATCTTGGAATGTGGTCTTGTGTATAATTGATAACTCTATTCTGCCCACTTAGACTAGGTTTTTTCTTGCATGATAATCAAAAACATGTAAAATAAATCTTGTAAGATTCATAAAAAAGACTTAAAATTCCATCACAGTCCTATGTTCAGAGATTGTTAAAAAGAGTCGACTACTTTGGCAGTCATTCACCTCTCCATTTTAGGCAGGGACATCCCAGGACATTATTGCGAGAACTGCATTAACTCTCCCATGTCACGTATGTGAGGAACTACATAATAAAAACAGTAGCTAACATTTTTCTAGAGATCACTATGTGCCGAAACACTTCCATGTTTAGCATGTATATGTAATCTTTTTATACTCATAGGATCTCTTCAATGAAGACAACATGACCATATTTTGCAGACGAGATAACTGGGGCTCATTTGTGGTAAGTGATTGCTGAAGGTCACACTTTCAGTGAGTGTCAGATCATAGATTTAAATTTAAGCAGTCTGACTTCACAGCTCACATATTTCAGTGTTTTGTCTGTTAATACATTAAGACTATTTGGCCAGGCAATAAATAAACCAGAATGAAGATAGCACTGAGATCATATAACTATGTGCATTGCTGTACCACTGACACTCTTTGCTTGAGAGGGTCTCATTTTCACTTTTCTGCAATCCTTGTCAATCGTATTCACCCAAAATTGTAGAGGTCTTGCTACGTACTGGGCGTTTTATCAGCTTGTTGCAGATCCAAAGTAAATAAATCATTGCCTTGTCCTTGAAAAACTCAAAGATGAGATTGGCTTCAGTACTGAAGGGTGAAAAAGAATGTATCAGGATTAATCCACATATTTTGATGGTGGCAATAGTGTTTACTGAGATGATGAAAGTGGTAGTATTTGTCATAGAGATAATTTATTTTGTTTTTCTCCTTAGATATTAATGACATGCTTCTTTTCACCAGAAAGATGAATACAAACAATGAAAAACTCTACACTTCTATTGCCATAAAAAATGCGCTTTTCTCCCAAATTGTCCTTGGGATCACAGCCAATACCATCCTTCTTCTCTTCCACGTCCACACCTTGATTCTCAAGCACAGGCCTAAGCCCACCGACTTGACCATCGGTCACTTGGCCCTAATCCACATAATAATGCTGCTAACCATGGGGTTCATGGTTACAGAAAGTTTTGGGTCTCAGAATTTTTGGAACGTCGTCAAATGTAAGTCAGTTATCTACTTGTACAGGTTGACGACGAGCCTGTCCGTTTGTACCACCTGCCTACTGAGCATCCTCCAAGCCATCATCCTCAGCCCCAGAAGCTCCCATTTGGCAAAGCTCAAGCATAAATCCTCACACCACAACCTGTATCGCATTCTCCTCCTACGGGTCTTCAATATGTCCATTAATGCTTGCTGCTTAATCTCCACCATTGCCACCCTCAATGTGACCTCAGCCCATCTTCTGTTTGTCACTGAATCCTGCTCTCTTTTACGCTTGAGTTACCTCCCTGAGTACATATTTTCCACATTGGGGATATTCTGGGACATTTCCTTTATAGGGCTCATGGCCCTCTCAAGTGGACACATGGTGACTCTCTTGTACAGGCATAAGAGGCAGTCCCGGCATCTTCACAGCACCAACCTTTCTCCAAAAGCATCCCCAGAAGAAAGGGCCACCCACACCATTCTGTTGTTTCTGAGTGTCTTTGTGTTTGTGTACTTTTTGGATTATATTACCTCCGTCTCCTTAGAAATGTGGTGGGACAATGACTCAGTTCGTCAACACGTCCACGTGCTGGTGACCAACAGCTATGCCACAGTCAGCCCTTTGGTGCTAATCAGTACTGAAAAACGAATAATGAAAGTTTTAAAATCCGTGTGTGGAAGGACAGTAAATGCTTAATTATTCAGTGATAGACTCTCTCTCTCTCCCTCTTTTTTCATCCTGTACTTTTTATTTCCAATTTTGTAAAAATTTGTTCTTGTGAAAAAAGTAATTTCTGAAGGAGCCGGAACTTTTGCATTTGCTCTTTGTAAAGATGCTAACTTGCAAATTTACGGTTCTGTTACTGTACATCTCAAACGTGTTATCTTTCCATCTCTCTTAGTACCTAAGATGCATTTAGCCTTGGCAAGAAAAATGACACCAAACTCAATGCACCTTGGAAGAATTAATCTTGTTTAACCAGAGTAAGAGAAAAATCTGCATAAGCATAATTGACTCAATTAATATGGCTGATGTAATTAGTGTTATAGCTTATTTCTTTTATCAAAGCAACAAACAGATATAATGGGAATAAAATTCCCTTGACATTAAATCTAGTAGCATTTCTAATCATAATGATTACACTTTTCATTTTTCCACTTATTTCATCTCTCTTTTCCCTCAAATTTCATAAACCTTTTATTTTCATAATTTAAATTTTTTTTCATGAATGTTTTATTTTCATTCAAGTAATGAACCCATAGGGTATAAACTAAGGGTTCTATTAGCCCTACCAGGGGCAACATGGAGTAGATGAGAGAACACATATGCCATCAAAACAGATGTAAGTTCAAATCCTGGTTCTGGCTTCTGGTGGCCTTGTGGCCTTGAACTAATGGCTTAACTCTTCAAGCCTCAGTTTCCTAAATTGTAACATAGAGACAAGATCTATTTGCAGGATTATCAGGCATATCAGAAATAATAATAGTAATAGCTACCATTATTGTGTGCTTTCTATGTGTGAGACACTTTACACGTATGTAAAGTCTTTTAATGATCACAATAACACTGTGAGGAGAATGCTATTACTATGCCCATTTTAGAGAGGAGGAGACTGAGGCCCAGAGAAATTTGGTGAGTTGCTCAAGATGACATAGGAAATAAGTGGAGAAGGCAGGATTTGAACCCTGGCCATCAGGCTCTAGAGCCTGTGCTTTCAGCCTATAGGAGACAATCTGTTTCGAGATGGTGCCCTTAATACAATGAACTTCATTTTGTAAATGCTATCAGAGTCACAGCAAACACTGCAGACAACATGAGACTAGAATGCCAACCTCAACACAATACTCCTTCAGCTTGATCTCCCAGTGGGGTGGTGAAGAGATGGTGTAGGTTGGCAGATGGGAGAGCAAGGGCAGGACCACCTAGTTCTTATTCTGCTTCTATCCTCCTGGTCAAGGGCAAGGACCATGGATTAGATAGAAGAGAAGAGAGTCTCTTAAACAAATGCAGAGATACAGCTGAATGGCAAGGGGCTAGATGGTTTTACATCTGGTAAAGTGGCAATTGCTAAAGAAAGCTGGCTGCTGGATTCATGGCAAAAGGGACAGTTATTTTTGGCAAATGTCAATTCTGCATTTTGCGTAAGGACAAAATGGGTTGCTTGTGAAATCCACCCCACAAAAAGCTGAGGGGATCAGGAAATAGAATGGATCTAATGGTCAAGATCCAAAACTAATGGAAACTTGTGGTGCATTAATCATGGCGTCCAGAACCATGGAGGTGATGGTCTTTCTCTATTCCACACTAGTCAGATCCAACTGCAGTAACATCTTTAGTTCAGGGCCTCACATTTGAGTGGGACAAACCAGATTAAACACAAAGGAGGGTGACTGGGATGATAAAAAGAATGGAAAACAGGGCAAATGAGAATGGTCGAAAGAACTGAGAACGCTCGGCCTGGGGAAAGAAAACTCTTTGAGGGTATAATAAGGATGGACTATGTGACACCCAGACCATCATATGTCTGACACTCAAATAGTCAAGTATAAATGTTAGTGTTCATGATTTGAATTTCCAAATTACTCACACCCACCCATCCCGACTATCCCAAGCCCACCTTTGCTGGCGAACTTCCTCAAGACTCAGTTGAAATATCACCTTCTTTGTCATTTCCCCAATTCCCTCAGGCACAGTAAGCTGTTCCACCCATCTTCTACGCATCCCGACCTCTCTGTTCAGGTCTCCATAGAAGCCTCCACCAGGTGGTTTCATCATTATCTTCTCACATGAGTGACACCTCCACGAGACAGTTCGTTCTCTAAGAGCAATGCCTGTGTCCTATTCATCTTTATTATCCTTGCTTCTATTGCAGTGCACGTCACAGAGGAGGCACTTAATAAAGGCTTAAGGAATGTATGAAAGAAAGAATGAATGAATGAAGAAAAGAGAATAGACTAATGGTGAAAACTATACAAAGGAAGAATTGTTCAACCCATGGGAGAACTTCCCAACGATCAGAACTTCCTCCTGAGGCAGCGTGTTCCAGTGCTTGGTGGAGATTCACGCCTTCCTTCTAGGGATGCTGTAGGGGTTCTCAAAGGGCACTAGTCCAGGTGACCCATGAGGAAGCTTCTCCTCCTGATTCCTAAAGCATGTGCTTAACCCAAACTAGAGAAAAGAATGTTAGGTGTTGGGTACTTTTTTTCTTTCCTAATTATAAGCTCTCAACAATACCATACCTCAGAAGCCATTCAAATATTCTTTATATAAAAAAACAATAAATCATACTGAATATAAAACATTGCCTATCACATGAGGAATTCCTTCTAACCAGAACTCAATGGGTGTCACTTCAGTCTGTTAGAGAAACTATATCACTGTTCTGTGAGAAACTACAGCAGACACCTAAAGCTTAATCTCCATTAATGTGTAACTTGGACGGTCTTTTACCAGAGATGTCTAAAGATTTTGTTTAAAAAAATGAGTATCTTCCAGATACAGTCATTTGTAGTGCGATAAAGTCTACTCATTCATTCAGCAACAATTCACCAAGTGACTTCCATGTGCTGGGAAATGCGCTAGGTCAGTCCAAGGCTGTTCTCAAGTGTCTGAGAGGAAAACGGAGGAAGACTGAAATGTCTCTGTGATGTTCCTCAGTGTTCAGTGACGAGAAAGTCCTGCACACAAATATCAGTGTGCAGAGGTGCTTTGAATAAAACACCAAGGTGTACTCATAATCAAAGCCACACATTTCAATATCCCACAGCTCATTTCATTGTTTGAGAAGACGGCGTCTGAATTCCACAAGTTACTCATACCTGAAGGAGCCCATTCTTCTGTGCTTCTCTTCACTTACTGGTAGTGTTTCCACAGGTAGCACTTCAAGTCCAGGGAGGTCCCGCCCAGGTGGGTCCCTCAGCCTCAGCCCGTCCCCTCCCCGCAGGGCCACCACCACCGCCACATACGCCAGGCTTCCCTCGAGGGCTGTGAGTGTAGCCACCAGGCCAGCGCTTCGATAGCTCCTCTTACCATGAGCCGGTGACTGTCTGCAGAATGAGCCGTTGTGGCGTACTGGATATGCTGTCTGGCTTAATAAAAATGTATCAATTTCTGCTTTTGCTGTTAAATCTATCTCCTTTGGTACGTGTGTCTGACATGTAGATAAGAGCTCATTTCACTCTCTAACTGTCTGAGATAGCACGCCGAATTTTCAAATCGGAGTCACAAGAATCAGAGCTTTTGCTCAGTGTTGAACTTTAAAGTCACAGGAGGCCAATCAGAGGCTGTCTGGGGATAAGGAAGGGAGGGCCAGGAAGGACGGATCACTAAGGGGCACAAGGAAGTTTTGGGAGGTGATTTTGGTGATAGTTTCACATGTGTTACGTATGTCAAAATGTACTAATTTCTATGCTTTAAATATGTGTAGTTTATTGTCTGTCAATTTTGCCTCAAGGAAGCTGTTAGAAAACAAGAAGATAAAACTTCCGTAAACGATTTGAAGACTTCACTAATGAATTAACATAATACATGTCTGCATGTCTACATGTGTGCACAGAAGGCAAATAACTCTGTGAGGGACAGTCTAGACGTTAACCATGGGCAAGACTGAACGAAATCTCTATGTGTTCCATCAAATAAAAGCTTATAAGCTTTGTCACCCAGGCACAATTGAAGAGAAAATCAGCAAATATCAAGAAAAGAATAACAAGCAGGGATTATCCATCCACTTGCAAAAGTTATAAACCCTTATGAAAAACCTATAGATTATATACAAATTTTAAAAATGAAGTTACATAGAGGGAGAAATAGAATAAGAATTCAAACCTCTAATTCTGTATTTTAGTTCTGAAAACCTGAAAATCACAAACTCTGGTCATTCAAGTGTCCCATTTAGTAACACGGAGGATACAATATTAAATTCTGGTACTATTTTAGTTTTTCCAAATGTAATCACATAATTAAAACATTATTGTTACAATACAATATTAGAAACAGCACAGCATGCAAACAAAGTCAGGGTTTCTTGCAAAACATATATATTTTTTCTTGGGTCCCAGGAATTAAAGGAGCGCAACAGAAATAGTAAATAGCTGGGTAAGTGGACAATTTTACTGTTGTTCTTAGGGGATCTTTAAAATACACATCATTGTTTAAAGCAAAATTTATGACAGTCTAGTGGGGTTTTCACTGTGTACAAATATAATCTACTTGGCAGTGAGGCTGTGTGATTGAACCCATGTGATTTTAAGGCTTTGTCATTTTACATGAAGTGGTACTACATTAATTCTAATTAAATTGTGAGAGGTTAGATACGTTCATTGTAATCCTTGGGTAACCACAAAGAAAATCATTCAAAGAGATATAATTAAAGTGCCAATTGATAAATTAAAGTAGAATACTAAAATTATTTAAATAATTCCAAAAAAGGCAGGAGAGAAAGACAAAAACAGAGACAAATAGAAAATAATAAACGACAGATCTCAATCCAATCATATCAATATTCATGTAAATGTTAATTCTACAAACAATACAATTAAAAGGCAAAACTGACAGAGTGGATGTAAAACCAAAACTCTATTGTAAGTTGCCTCAATAGAACACTTGAAGGATGGTGTGAAAGAGAGAAACTATGTGAAGAGTGAGCATTAAATGTATCAATTGGCTATTTTAACATCAGATGAAATAGACATTTTAAAACAAAGTATACTACCACAGACAAAGCCAGACATTTCATAATGATAAAAACAAAAAGTTGGGGCCAGCCAGTGGCACAGTAGTAAAGTCCAGCACACTCCCTTTGGCGGCCTGGGTTTGTGGGTTCGGATTCTGGGGGCAAACACATACCACTCAACAAGCCATGCTGTGGTGGCAACCCACATACAAAATAGAGGACGACTGGCACAGATGTCAACTCAGGGCAAATCTTCCTCAGCAAAACGAAACAAAACAAAAAGTCATCAAAAGTTTTAACAATTATAAACATGTATGCACCCACTCATAGAGCCTTTAATTTGATGAATCAAAAACTGACAAAATTAAAGAGAGATGATACAATATCACAATCAGAGTAAGAGATTTTAACATCTATCTTTTAGAAATTGATAGGAGTACAAAAATCAGTAAAGACATAAACA